TAAAGTGCAAATTAAAATATAGCTGTATCTGCAAATGTATTTGATAATGTTTTGAACTTTTTAAATACTGCATGGTAGAACCAGAAGCTGCTTTTCAAATTAGTGACAAACAAAAACACTAAAACAGCTTTTTGACAAGTTTAGAGTTTCTTTAAAATACATTCAACAAACTACAAAAATGATTTTGATAAAGTGCAAATTAAAATATAGCTGTATCTGCAAATGTATTTGATAATGTTTTGAACTTTTTAAATACTGCATGGTAGAACCAGAAGYTGCTCTTCATAATAGTGACAAAATGGCATTTTTGATGGGTTACCTTCATTTTTGCTTCTACTTTTCATTTAAAATAGGTTTCCACTCTCGGAGGGTTTCTTTGGTTCTTCTTCTACGTATTAAAAATGTTGTTAAGCAACTGAGTGGTGCACTACTGCTACTAGTGGTGAGAAAGTGTATTGCACCTTATTCCAAATCAATGCGATCCCACGGCCCTCTGCAGCCCAAAGTTCAAAACTGTTATTTTGGGTGGTGCTCGCGGCACAATTCATGGGTTAAGATTCTCTGGTTTAGGTAACAAACGAGACAGGGTTTYACCTGGTAGAAGGTGTTGATCTCTTTTCCATTGGTGGTAAAGGTCATGAGGCCTGTGGCCAGGTCGACCAGGCAGCCAATTACCATGTCCTCCTGACTGAAGCGGGTCTGCTGGTTGCTGACCAGGTCCCCTCCCCACACCATGTAGCAGTTACTGTGCTTCATGCTGCAGACAGGAAATAGAGCTACTACACAGGAAATGAGGGAAAACGTATCTGGAACTACCTATAAATTAAACAAAATCTAAACCTAAAAACGTAACTTTCCATGTATAAAATTGACATTTCTGAGTACTACCTGTCATGTATGTTGCCTTTATCGTCCCCCACAGTGACGGTGACGCAGCGCACCTTGGAGAGGTCGAAGCTGGGGTCGAACTGGTGGAAGTCAGGGGTGACCCAGCCGACCCACACGCAGGAYGGCTCCTGACCAGCGAAGATCCTCACAGAGTAGAAATACTGACAACAGAAGGAGAGTGAGTACCGATCGACAGATCCGATCTAAGCATTAAATGYGAGGTTGTCTCACGGTGGTGGTGCTGAGGATGATTTCGGGGTCATCTCTGTCATCAGGAACCACATCCTCCACCAAACGAGGCACCGTTGGRGGGGCAGGAGGAGGGGCCAGAGGTGTCATGGCAGCTTTTTTAGCTTTGGAGAAAAATCTGTTTGTCAAAAAAGACAAATCACAGTGAATTACACACAGAAACAAAATTTCCTTTACTGTCTTTACTAAAGACACAAACAGATTTTTACCCTTTTTTCTTCCCCTTTTCTGACATTGCCTCCTTCTCGTTTTCCACAGAGACCTCCTTTGGTACCGATGGTTCCTTCTTCTCGTCCTCCTGCTCCTTACGACTGGCAGACTTCTTTAAAACCTCAAACTCAGAGTCCGGCTCTACGACGACCACCTCCTCCTCGGGTATGGTGAGGGCTCGGGTGAGAGGGGTGGTCCCGGCTTGTACCTTGAAGGTCTCGTGGAACTGGACGGGCATGCTGAGTCGGAGGAACATCATGTCCGTGTTGGCGTTCTGCGACCCGTAGGTCTTGTGGGTTAGCTTCAGACAGGGGGCGCTGTCCACGGTTCCATCCACACGAGAAACCTGGAGAACAAGCAGCAGGAGCTTCTGTGAAGCTGCACAGTGCTAGCTAAACGCCAAAAGTAGCAAAATGCTAGCTAAACAATAAAACTAGAAAACTGCTAACTATAAGATAAAACTAGCAAAGCATTAGCTAAAAGTGTAAAAATGCTAAGTAAATGCTAAAAGTACAAAACTGCCAACAAACATATCAAAAGCCTATACTATAAGCTAAATACCCTGAAAGGATAGCCTAAAGCTAAATGTACTAAAATACTAACTAAAATGACTAAAACACAAGCTAAAAACAAAACATATCAAAAGGCTATTTATGAGCATAAAGTACTAAAAGGTTAGCCAAAGCTAAATGAATTGAAACACTAGCTAAAAGAAGTAAAACACAAGCTAAAACCTAAAAATATCAAAAGGCTAGCTATAAGATAAAAGTAATAAAAGGCTAGCCTAAAGCTAAAGCTATTGAAACATTAGCTAAAAAAATCTCTAGCTAACTAAGCATTAGCTCCAAGTCTCAAAATATTGAGTAAATGCTAAAAATAGAACTCTAACTAAAAATACCAAAAGGATAACTATAAGCTAAAAGCACCAAAAGGCTAGCCTAAAGCTAAATGTATGTAACAATAGCTAAAAGAAGTAAAACACAAGCTAAAAACTACAAATATCAAAAGGCTAGCTATAAGATAAAAGTAATAAAAGGCTAGCCTAAAGCTAAATCTAAAGGTATTGAAATACTAGCTAAAAACTAAAAAATCTCTAGCTAACTAAGCATTAGCTCCAAGTCTCAAAATGCTGAGTAAATGCTAAAAGTAGAACAACTCCAACTAAAAATACCAAAAGGATAACTATAAACTAAAAGCACCAAAAGTCTAGCCTAAAGCTAAATGTATGCAACACTAGCTATAAGAAGTAAAACACAAGCGGGCAACAAAAAAATAGCAAAAAGCTAGGTAACAGCTGAGAGTAACACAAGGTTAGTTAAAAGAATAAAATGGCTTCCTAAAAGCAAAGAGTAGCAAAAAGTTAGCTAGACAATAAAAGTAACAAAAGGAATGAAAAAGACCAGCCGAACCTACATGTAATTAAAAACTAGCTAAAGACAACTAAATTACAAATTAGCTAAAAATAGAAATATGCTAAATTTATCTGAATATTTGCTTTTAACTCTAATGATTACTACCAGGTTTTCCACTAGTGGAGGAAGTAAAATTAGTAGTAGAAGCAGTAGCTTCAGCATTAGCAGTAGTAGCACTGACACCATTAGAATTAACAGAATTAACAGTAGTAGCATTAGCAGTAGCTGTATCAGCATTCCCATGAATAAAAAACAAATTTCCATACGTCACTGATGAATTACCTCAATGTGATTGTGGTCGGTGGGTACAGGGACGAACTGGGGCAAACTTTTACTGAACCACATGGTGATGTCTCGCTTCATGTTGATGGCAAATGGTTCAAATCCTTCCTGCAGGCCACAGATAGCAAAATACTGCAGGCTGCTGACATTCTGGCCCAGATTGATCCGCCCGACCTGAGACAGGCCGAGGGCACACACCGGGATAAAACCTGACGGATAAAACCAGAAAATATTATTTTTTAATGATTACCACAAGAATTATACTTCAATCAAAAATATTCCCCCAAACAAGTTTTAAACCAATGTAGATCTGATAATTTTGATCTCACCTTCACCAATTTCGATGTCTTTGAAGGCCATCTCTGAGCCAGAATCGCTGATCAGCATTTCTCCGTTGAGGGTGAACATGATGTTCATCTCCGTCAGGTCGATCATGCAACCGACAACATCACCGGACTGCCACTGCCGACCGAACGGCTCGTTGCCAATGTGCCATCTTTGAGCCTGGAACAAAAGAAAAAACAAAAATAAGTGGACTTCAGTTCTGTAGTTGAAGACATTTATGTAACCTGGAGTCACATGCAAATTAAACAACACTCCTCGCACAATGGAAAGTCGTTAAACAACAACAAACCCACAAAATGTTCCTTAAATGGCGACAGTCAGATGTGGACTGACCTTGTTTCCGTTGAAGACGTAGGCGAGCTCGTCCGCTCCCAGTTCGGTGTCAGAGCGGACGTTGGGACGAGCCCAGCCCACCCTCATCTCTCCGGTCGACACYGCCTCGAACTCAAAGTACCACTTCCCCTGAGTGACGGCGTACGATTTCTCTGCCCTGAAGATCCGTACTTTGTCCCCGCGGGTGTTCTCCAGGCCGTGGCCAGCTGTAGCGATGTCGGGCGAGATGTCGATGAAACGCGAAACAACGATCGACGAAGAAGGTTTTGAAACAACTCGGTGACTTACTGCTCTCCTGGTCCGGAGGCTCGATATTGTAGCCGTAGCCGATGAGCGTGCGGACGGCGTTGTTGACGCTGTCACGGTTAGTTTTCTTGGTTCTCTCGTCCAGCAGGTTGTACGGTACCAAACGAGGGTTTCTCTTATTTATAATGTCCTGGAAGCCATTACAGATTTCAGCTCGGTGTTAAATGTTTGAACTTAGAAATGACCAGGAAGGAATTAATAAGATGTAGAAAAGGATTTTAAAATTAGTCACCTGAACGATGCTGTAGGTCCATCCTTGCCGTACTCTGTCCCTCGCCCAAACGTTATGCCCATTTTCTGCCAGTTTTTCTACAAGCTGGTTCTGGTTCGGTGTCAGTTTGACGTGGTTGAGGTCGAGCGGGGCAGGCTTGTAGCCGTTGGTCATCACATAGCTRGATAAAAACAAACTCCGTTAGAAAAGCATCAAGTCAGATTAATAAAAGAGAAAATGCTTTTGTCGCCGTACGTCTTGGGCAGCTTGATCTTCTTGAGATTCTCCTCTGCTTTCTCATCGCCCATTCCAACATGGCAGCCCAACGCCAGCAGTGTCCTGAAGGAAAACACGTTAAGTTTCATTTCCTGGCACGTTATCTTTAGGGTCTCATTACACGACYTGAACTGCAAACTTACTTGAGAGTTTCTCCTGACATCTGCAGATTGTAGTTCTTCTCCGGTTCAGGGAGACTTTGGAAGTCCACCAAGCAGGGGTGCAGTTTCTTGTTGTCATCCCTGAACTGTTAGGGAGAATCAAACAGATACGACTCAGTTTGATCGTTAGGAGGTCCAAACGATGCAGATTTCAGGTTATTGAATAATCCTGCTCAGATGACATCGTACTCACATTGCCGTAGGTCCAGCCCTGCTCGATGCGAGTCACCGCCCACAGCTCGTGAATGTTCTCCGCCAGCTTCTCTCGAATGCGTTCCAGGTGCGGTGGCAACACAATCTGTGCAGAGAAGAAAATTTAAATTTTAACGCATACTGAAGTCAGCAAAGACTTAAAATATTAATAAATTATTTTATATCCTGAGCCACAAAAACAAAATTAGCTGAATAAGCATTACTTCTGATGTCAGAAATCTATAATGGCCTTCAGTTTTGCTCGTTTTCACTTTAAGTTAATGTCATCAAGWTTTGCTTTTAGCTAATGTTTTAGCCTTTAGCTATTGTACGACATTTTTAGTTTTTAGCTRCGTTTTTTCTTTAGCTTTGAGGTCTTCAACCCTGTTCCTCGTGACCCACTGCCCTGCATGTTTTAGCTGTTTTTCTGCTTCGGCACACCTGATTCAAATAATTAAAGTTTAGCAGAAGCCTGTCAATCACTCATTCAATCCAAGCAGGTGTGTTGAAGCAGAGAAACATGCAAGAGAATCTGCTTTAGCTCATTTTAGCTTTTGGCTACTGTCTTGCAAGTTAGCTACAGTTTTGGTCATTTTCAGTGTTGGCTACAATTTTGGTAATTTTAGACTTTAAGTATTGTTTTGCTGTTTTAAGCTTTATCCTACTGTTTTTTTTCACTTTTAGTTTTCAGCTATAATTTAGCTAAATTTAGCTTTCATTTAATATTTAGCTATTTTAAGCTTTTATAAACAATTTTGCCAATACTAGCTTCAAGTTACTGTTTTGTAAATTTTATTTGTAGCCTKAAGTTAGCTAATATTAGCATCTATCCCCCATTTTGGGATTTTTGCTTTTAGCGGTGATTTAGCGTTTAGCTGCGATTTCTTTCGCTAGTTTTGATTTTAACAGTTCAGGTTAGGCTTTTTCAACAAATTCCAGTAGCCATTCAACAAATATTCAGCAGTCCTTTAGCAGATTTTTAGCAGACATTCAGCAGATAGTCAGCAGATATTCAGCAGTCATTCAGCAGACAGTCAGCAGACAGTCAGCAGACAGTCAGCAGACAGTCAGCAGACAGTCAGCAGTCATTCAGCAGATATTCAGCAGTCATTCAGCAGACATTCAGCAGTCATTCAGCAGACAGTCAGCAGATATTCAGCAGTCATTCAGCAGACATTCAGCAGTCATTCAGCAGACAGTCAGCAGATATTCAGCAGTCATTCAGCAGACATTCAGCAGTCATTCAGCAGATATTCAGCAGATATTCAGCAGATATTCAGCAGTCATTCAGCAGTCTTTCAGCTATCAGTATTCACAACACAAACTGGTCCAGCTGTAGCATTCTCTGGTTGTGTTACCTGGACCGTGTCCACCGGGCAGGGGGTGAAGGAGGTGTGGGTCAGGGATTGGGTGGGACCCAAAAGGTTGCGGACTCCGTTAAAGTCATGCTTGTACTCCTTGATGGGTTCGATACGCATCCTATCCTTGGGCAGCACTGCCTCGTAGCATGGGGCGTAGCCTGGCGGGGGCATAAACTTAAAGTCTCCRTGGCGTCCGCCCAGGAGGAACCGGACCCTGAGGGGACAGAACCAGAGTCAGTCCTGGTCTCTTTCTGTTTAAAACACAAGCTTTGGGACGTTAGACTGACTTGACCCCAGCAGAGAAGCTGATGACCGGGAAGAAGAGGCCGTCCACGTTGAAGTTTTCAAACATGCCCTGGACTGGATGGCCGTTGATTCGGAAGGAGATGCTGGGCACGCTCAGATCCAGGCAGCAGCTGACCACATCGTCTGCAGCGAGCGTGTGAGCGCTGGGCGAGGCCACCTGGCGAGCCACGGTCCCTGAAAACCACAGCGCAACATTCTCACAAACATTTACAGTACTGTGGCAGAGATACAGTAAACTGGTACAGGAAGTTCCTACCTGACCATAAGTGCAGCCCATCGAAGCCGTAAGAGTAGAGGTCGTCTCCCACCCCATTGCCTCCCCAGCCCTCTCCTCCTCCGGGGTAGGGGCTGTAGCCCTCGGTCATAGCCCAGCCCACCCTCAGGTGGGTCGCCTGGGCCGTGACGAAGGACTCCACGTAGTCCACAATCATCTCGTAGTACCACTTCTTATACTGAGTGGAGCCCTCACAGGTGCCCAGGAAGATGTTGGGTCTCACGCTGGGGGCAAAATGTCAACCTTTACCGCTAAAGTCATCTGACATAAGTGCAGAGTAAATGCCATATTTGTTTTACTRAATAAATCCCGTGTCGTTCCTCTTTGTGTGAACAATGAGTCAGCATTTATAATATTGTTTAAAAAGTCTTGTAAACCCTCATGGGAACAATGAGTCAGCGTTTGTTATTGTTTATAAAAAGTCTTATGTCATCCTGCGTGTGAACGATGAGTCAGCATTTATATTATTGTTTATAAAGTCTTATGTCATCCCTTGTGTAAACAATGAGTCAGCGTTTATTATTCTTTTAAGTCTTATCCCTCATGAATGAGTCAGCGTTTATTGTTTATAGTCTTATGTCATCCCTTGTGTAAACGATGAATTAGCGTTTATATTATTGTTTTAAAAAGGCTTACATCATCCCTTGTGTAAACAATGAGTCAGCAGTTATATTATTGTTTTTTAATTCTTGTTATCCCTCAATGTGTGAACAATGAGTCAGTGTTTAAAGTATTGTTTAGTTTTATGCCATCCCTCCTTGTATGAATGAGTCAGCGTTTATTATGCTTTTAAAATTTGTCATTCCTCGTGAGCGATGAGTCAGCGTTTATCCCTCAATGTGTGAACAATGAGTCAACATTTACAATATTGTTTAGTCTTATGTCATCCCTCCTTGTGTGAATAATGAGTCAGCATTTATAGTTTATAGTGTTACATCATCCCTTGAGTACACGATGAAACAGCATTTATATTATTGTCTTAAAAAGACTTAAGTCATCCCTTGTATAAATGATGAGTCAGCAGTTATATTTTTGTTTTTTAAAAGTCTTATGTTATCCATCAATGTGTGCACAATGAGTCAAAATTTATAGTATTGTTTAGTCTTATGTCATCCCTCCTTGTGTAAATGAGTCATCGTTTATTATTCGTTTAATAGTTGTCATTCCTCGTGAGTAATGAGTCAGCGTTTATTATTGTTTTTCTTGTCATCCCGCTTGCGTGTGAACGATAAGTCAGCATTTATATCATTGTTTAAAAGTCTTAAGTCATCCCTTGTGTAAACAATGAGTCAGCGTTTATATTATTGTTTTTTAAAGTCTTATGTTATCCCTCAATGTGTGAACAATTTGTCATCATTTATAGTATTGTTTAAAGTCTTGCGTCATCCCTTGTTGTGTAAACGATGAGTCAGCGTTTATGTTTGTTAAAGGTTTTGTCATCTCTCGTGTCAACGATTAGTCAGCGTTGATATTTCGTTAATAAAAGTCTTGTCATGTCTCGTGTCAACGAGTCAGCATTTATATTTTGTTAATAAGTCTTGTCATCTCATGTCAACAATGAGTCAGTTTATATTTTGTTAATAAGTCTTGTCATCCCTCATGTGAGCAATGAGTCAGCATTTATTTTTGTTTTTTTATTTAGTTTTCTCCAATCAAACCATTTTCAGCTGCTGTTTTGCTTCTTTTAGTTTTGAAGAGATTTTGGCTCAACAGCAGTTTTAGACAAACCTGGTGACGTAGTTGACGATGTTGGTTTGCAGCAGCAGGTCTCGACCCGGCAGCAGATTTTCTGTGATGAGGTTCTGGTTGGACCTCACAGCTACACCGTTACACACACACAGGGAGCGCAGGACGTCCAGAACCTACACATCAGAACAGAACCACACCGTGGATTTATAGGTCAAACGCTGCAGATTTCCACTAAAAATGATTCATTTACCAACCTTGTGGTTCCGTCCRTGTTTGTCCAGAAGAGAGATGATGGATTTAATGTGGTTCTCCTGAATGATGTTCAGAACCTCGGGGCTCTCAATYAGAACACAGTACAGAACCTCCAGGATTCCTAAAGGCAAACCCACCCGTCTGACAGATTACCAACATGACGTGTTCTGTAAAAGTTCTGTTTAAATCAGTTCCACCAGGTTTAGCCTGTGCTCTGTAGGAGATCTGATACCTGAGGAAGCCTCCAGGCGGTCCAGTTTACTGACCAACCAGTCCAGGTTGTCACAGAACAGTGCACAGTTGGAGCGGTTCCCCCTGATGAGTGAAGCTGTAGGTGCAAACATTAGGACACAAAAACAAAYCTTTATTTGTATTTAAGAGCTCGTAGTTTCATGTTTTTACCCAGCAGCTCGTAAAGGAGGTTGACGATCTCCTTCCAGGACTCGGCCGCCTCTTCCCCGGCAAACTCTGAGAAGTGAGCGGCGGTGTTGTAGACGTTGAGCCGGTCGATGCACTCCAGCACGATGGTGATCATTCCCTGACAGAAGCAAAGCGCAGGAGGAGCAGTCAGATGAAACACAACTTTGGTTTCAGGGAAAGAAAAKAGTTTTACCTCCTCCTGGAAGAGGTTCTGCCGGTTGCGCAGCGAGCGGAGTTTGGTCTGTTTCTCCTCGTGCTCCAGTTCCTCCTCYGGTGGCCGGAAGTAGAAGATGAGATCCTGAAGAGAGAGGATGACCCCTTCCAGAGGAAGAGACACCGGACCTGGAGATTTGTTCTTCCCACTCAGGGAGTCCAGTCCACTGGAAGAAGACACAATCACAATAAGAGAAAGAYTAACATCAGTTCTGGTGAAACCAGGAGTTTAATTCCCACTATAAACACCGTTGTAAATAAGCAGCAGATACGTACTTGATGAAGTGCCTGAAGAGACCTGTGGTGCTGTAAATCATCCGAGCAGCCTGAGACTCCTCAGACTGAGAGCGGGACACGGTCAGAGCATCGTCCATGTGACCCTCCTGGTGTAGAATCACCTGAAGACACAAACACACAAACCTTCATGTCACCTGAGGTCCGACGTCTGTCACAGAACTGGGTTTACGTCAAAACACAGAGTTTTTACTCCTTTCTGTTATTTTTCATTTATTTTGAAGGTTGCACTCCTGGAGCATCTCATAATGTTTACTGATCAATGCCGAAGGAAAAAAGGTGAAGGTGTGTTAGCTTAGCTGTGTTTATTTGTCTGTACTGTTAGCAAAATATCTGATCAATCACTGCATGGATTTTAACTCAACTTTCAGTGCCCGTTTGCTACGACTTACTTATCCAAGCAGGCCACCACAACAGGCTAAAACTGGCACAACAGTAGCTAAAAACAGCGGAACAACAGCTGAAATTAGCTAAACAGATGCGAAAGCACAAATCTGAAAGAACTGTAGCTAAAATGAACAAACTTTTAGCTAAAAGTAGTAAATATGACAAAACTAACTTCTTCAAAAAAAGTCACAAAACAGTAGCTAAAAGTAGCTGAACAGTAACTTCAAAGCTAAAAGTAGCAGAAGAGTAACTTTAAAAGCTAAAAGTAACTGAATAGTAACTTTAAAAGCTAAAAGTAGCAGAATGGTAACTTTAAAAGTTAAAAGTAGCAGAATGGTAACTTTAAAAGCTAAAAGTAGCTGAATGGTAGCTTTAAAAGCTAAAAGTAGCTGAATGGTAGCTTTAAAAGCTAAAAGTAGCAGAATAATAGCTGTAAAAGCTAAAAGTAGCAGAATGGTAGCTTTAAAAGCTAAAAGTAGCAGAAGGATAACTTTAAAAGCTAAAAGTAGCAGAAGGGTAACTTTAAAAGCTAAAAGTAGCAGAATGGTAGCTTTAAAAGCTAAAAGTAGCAGAAGGATAACTTTAAAAGCTAAAAGTAGCAGAAGGGTAACT